AAAAAAAAAAAAAAAAGACACAAAGAGGAAAGTTAGTGAAAGTTAATAAGCCCTAAAATAAGAAGATCTTAGAGCGTAGTATCAAGATGCCACAAAGATAGCTCTGTCCTGTAAAGTAGCAATCCCAGTGTGCCTCTTGGTGCAAGAATTACAGAAATGCATAAATAAAATGACAGAGTTAACTTCCTGTGGCCCGAACTTTGTTGTTATCTGTGTGGGCACAAGTATACACTTAATCTCTTTACTTCAATATGAAACTCTTTGTTTCTAAGATGACTGGGCATTTTATAAAATTCAAAGGTCACTGTCAAATGGCAGGGCATATTCTGCCTTTTAGAAATCTCAGCCTGCCTGGTTCCAACCTTATGGCACCCACATCCCTCCACTGGCTTTCGACAGGCTGGTGTTCCTAGGTCAACTTATTACTGTGGGCTCTAGCCAATTTTGGCACATAATCTTTCAGACTGGAAACATTTGTATGTACTTCTGTGGTCAATGATATTTACATAAATTTTAGGCAACAACTCATGGCTCTTTAACTGTGGATCTGGTAAAACATTGACAGAAACTGATTTAAGAAAATGAATAAAAGAAATCTGAATCTATATAGTATATCTACATGTAACTGTCATAAACACACTCTACTTGAAAGAGAAAAGAATACACCAACATGTGGTTGACTCACTTAAACACATTTAAAACTACAAGACAAGAGACACACTGGTCACTGGATGAAGGTGATTTAAAATTTTTCAATTACCTAGAAAATTTTATAAAAGTAAGATAACTTTTAAAAAGACCTCTTATTGAAATGTAATATATTAACAGAAAAAGAACATGTATCATAAATGTACAGCTTGAAAACTTTTGTTTGTTGTCTTTTTTTGAGACAGGGTCTTACTATATATTCCAGGCTGGCCTTGAACTTATGGCAATCCTCCTGTCTCAGCCTCCCGAGTGCTAGGATCACAGGTGTGTGCTTACTTGATGACTTCTATAGTTTGAAAATATTGTAAATCAGAACCTAGATCAAGATGAATTTTTCAATAAATGGTGTATGCACTGGATGGCCATATGGAAAAGTATATCATGATCTTTATCCTACATCACATATTGAACTCATTTCCAGATGGAGTGCAAATCTGAGTGTGAATGCTGAACAAAAGAGGAAAAACTCAGGGAAACATTTTGAACTCTAAGAATAGAGGCACAGATTTCTTAAAATGGACACAAGAAATGCTACCAGGAAAGGAAAAATGAAGACTTTCCACTAATCAAAATACCACTAAGAGTGAAACTTAAGGTATTTCTTCAGATATAATTTTCTTCCCCCCACCCCCATTAAATTTATTGGTACATTTTAGGTGTAAAATACATTTACATACATCATTGGGATCTTGTACCACTACATGAGTATCTTGGTTCTTATCAGATATAATTTTCATAGAAACCAGAAACCAACAGTTTTACAGGAAAAACCTATAACTGTGCACCCCTTTTATATTTAAGAGTCTTAATGTTTCAAACTAGGAACTCAGCATTCCCCCAATTACTGAAAAGTCATTAATGAAAAGTCCCCCAATTACTGAAAAGTGGAGAGGGGTCTCTTGTCCCCAGTAGACAGCTCAGTGAGGAGGACAGGTCATAGGTAAGGTTGGGAGGAGGCTGTAAGGCTACCATTCTGTCTGATGCTGGAGAAGTTAAACAGACCCTGGGGAAGGTAATGGGGATTGTCTGGCAAACCAGGGTGCTGACCTCGACCTTGCTGGCATGGGGACTTGTGATCTCCAGGCACAGGAAGTTTTCCCTCTCTGCCCTCGCACTGCCCCCCCCCCCCCCGGCTCACCTGCACACTCACGCTGCCCTGGAGTTTCAGCTGCAGTTTGATCATGTCCACTTCAGTCGAGGAGCAGAGCTGCCGGAGCTCGGCCACCTTCTTACTCATCTCGTCGATGGCCACTTCAATGGGGTTTAGGTCGGTGTGATGCTGGTACATGACGGGGATCCGCTTTTTCACGTAAGGGAAGCAGTGTATTGCTGCAGAGGAATGAGGCCCAGAATTACTTCACAGCTCACTTGATCTTCACTACTGCTGAGGTAGAAATAATTACTGTTCCTATTTTACAGACAAGGAACCCAAAGCTTGCCAAAGACACCGACTGTGGAACTGGAATATTGTCTTCCTTTCTAACGAAACATGTTTAAAGACAAGTTGTACCATAAAGCCAGGAGAGTTGCTATCCCTTTAATGTGAGAAGTGTGTCTTTGAAAAAAATCATTTCATCATTCTTTGCTCAATTTTTTCATTCATAAATATCCTATCGTTCTTGGAAGTTGTGAGATCTGAATGAGTGATCTGGCACAAGATGGCTTTGACAACAGAAAAAAGATTAAGCAATTTCTCTTTTCTCCAAAGAGAAGACTTGAAAAACCAATGAAAATAAAATACAAGAATATATTTCCAAGCAAAGAATTTCTGAACCAAAAATTAAAACTGTTGGAACTGCATTAAAAGGTATTTTGAAACCCACAGTAGTGGGTTTCTTGTTTCTTTATATAGTATATGAATACCTGTAATAGTCTCATTTAATATACATATGCTACCAACATGTACTTATGCACTTAAAAAGATATTTTTTAACAAGCAAAAGTAAGATGAGAAGGGCTGGGGATTTAGCTCAGTGGTTTTGCCACCTGCTGCGCAAGCGCAAGGACCCGAGTTCGGTCCCCGCTACCAAAAAAAAAAAAGTAAGATGAGAGTGGGTATGTTCAAAATTTTTACTTTCTAGTAAAATTGTGGTAGGGGAAGAGTTTATTCAAGAAGGACTGATCACAAAATGGGAAATAGGGTCAGCTCCCATAAAACAGTTCTGACGGACCCAGCCATGTCTGGACAAAGCTGGAAAAAATGTGCAACCCAAGGAACCTCCTTGGGTTCATATTTACAGGCTTTTTATTTTCAAAGTATTTTATCAGCTGAAGGTCAAGGGTTCCTGTCTCTTGTTTGTGTCCTTGTGGATACAGTTTTTAAGTGAAAGTTTTAGAACTGATAAATCTTCTTTGAATAAAGGTTCCTTTTATAGTGTAACAACAATCAGGAAGCTATTCGAACCAGGGTTGTCTTCTGATTGTATAACTGATGCTCCATTTAGAGCAGAGCTACTACATTCCCATTTGTAAATGAAAAAGCACCCAGAGGAATGTTTCATGAGGCCAACAGTCATGTTGCAACACATACAATCAGTGTCAAGAGTATATTTGAGGGCTGGGGATTTAGCTCAGTGGTTTCAATGCCTGCTACGCAAGCGCAAGGACCCGAGTTCGATCCCCGGTACCAAAAAAAAGAGTATATTTGAGAGCCAAGGTGTGGTAACACTATTATTTCAGAAAACAAACAAACAAACAAAAACAATTCCAAAGGTAATGCTTGTGAGGGGTCCATAGATCACACCGATTACACTGATTGTGAAGGTCCTGAATCACTACTTGGGACAGGAATTGGACACTTTGAGAGGAGGAAAGGAACAGTAATACTGCTCAGCTCCTGTGATCTAGATCCCACCCCCAGCTACAGCTGTCTCCCTATCCCCGCCTTTCTTGCTGGCCTCACATCCACTCCTCTACCTCAGGCTCCTGGGAGTCAGCTAGGCGAACCTTTTCACTCTCTGAAAGCTTGGCGCATGGGCATCCCAGCCACTCTTCACCTTTGAAGTCTTAACTCAAGTGCTACTTCCTCAGTCCGGCCTACCTTGGCCACCCTATTTGGCACAACCCTCCCCATAACTTCATATTCCCTCTTCCTTTGATTTTGTCCAGAACATGGACTGTGTCTGACCAAGGTTTATTTGCTCCTTATGTTGACTGTCATCTATCTCCTCATGTTGGAATGGAAGCTGCTTAAGGCCACAGATCTGCTCTGTGATTAGGCCAGGTGGCAGAGGCTCAACATGTACTGTTGAGTGAAGGAATGTATTACTGCTCCAAAGACTACAGAGGAGAGCCCTCGGCAGTAGACCCTCAGGTGGCTGATGCAGAAAGCTACTATGTTAATGGTGAGGGCCTGCAGGAGTAATCTTTGGCCCTGTAGGAAAGAAGAGGAGGAAGACACAGTAGGTAAGTGTGACTGTATGAAGTGCTTACAGTGAACAGGAGCTGGAGAGCAGGCAGACATTTCCAGCCTGAGTGGGAGTCTGAGCTTGGTGCAGAAGACTTTGGAGCAGTGATTAGGAAGAAACTCCTTGGGAGAAGTCCCAGGAAAAAAGGAAAGGTGGGATCAAGTTGCAAGGCAGGGGCAGATTCAGAAACTTCCACCTAAGGAGGCTAGGGTGATCATAAGGCTTTCAAAGGATGGCATGAGTGTAGTCATCTGACTGGGAACTATCCAGGGGGCTGTACCTTTGCTGGGTGCAGAGGGCAGGGAAGACCCCTACACTTACCAGGCCAAAGGATAGGTTTGCAAGAACACAATGGATCATGAAACGAGGGGATTAATAACTTAAGGGAACTCTCAAGTCAAAGGTCCTTGTGTATCTTTAAAAGCTGACCTAGAGCAGTGATGGCGAACCTTTTAGAGACTGAGTGACCAAACTGCAACCCCAAACCCACTTATTTATCACAAAGTACCAACACTGCAATTAAACCTGAATACTGAGGTTTTATTTAGAAAAAAAATCATACATTAACATCTTCTGTCTTAAAAGAAAAACAATAACATGCGTGCCATAGGTTCACCACCACTGACATAGAGATTACCTATTTTCAGTGGTATTTTTATTACCTTTTCTCTAAATCTTACTCTGCCTAGCAATATCCTATCTTTTTGATACTTTGAGATATTTTAGGACAAAAACTGAATGTGTATATGTGTGTGTGTGCTGGTGTGCATGTGAGCTTTGTTGTACTATAATCCACTTTTACTCATCATTAACCCCCAAAGGAAGAGTTCAATAGTAGGTGAGATCTACCAAAATAAAGTACATTCTTTTTCCTCCTGATTACAATTTACGAAGTTATTTAATACAGTGAGATGAATGTTACAGGAAATGAAGGTACAGAGAGGTTCAGGGACCTGCCCAAGTTCACACAGTGGGGTGGTGACCAGTCTGACCCTCAGGCCAGGCTCCCTTCTGCCTCTGCTTTCCTAGGCCCAAAGGTGTGGAAAGTGTTTATTTCCTGAGCCAAAGAGGCTTGTGCCTGCTTTTCTCTGCTGTGTAGTTACTCTTTGTCCAGAGTTTTGGCAGACAGAGAGTTTTGCTTGCATCCTTTATCTAATCTGTAATAGTTCTGTATCAAATGTAAACTGTAACCCTGAAGCATATTTGTCCAGGGAAAACACCCTCTGCTAGGAATCAGTGTTCTGTTTCAACAATAACCATGATAAAACATCCTGACCTTGACCCAGCAGTAAACTAGTGTTTTTGTAAAGCAGCAGCTCTCAAATGTAAGCTTGGGTCAGAATCCCCCTGCCCCTCAACGTACCCCAGGGTTTGCTGAATATAAACACACAGCTTGGCCTCATCCCTGCAGTTTCTGATTCAGCAGATTTGGGTTGGGATCTGGGAATCTGCATTTCTAATAAGTTCCCAAGGGCTGCTTATACTGCTGATACGATAGCCAATCTGACTCCATCTTGTGCCTCAATGCCATTTTGTACCTGTGCTTGAACAAAGTGCTTGCACATGAACAAAGCATCCAAAACCCCCACATCCTACTTGGCAGTAAACTTGCTACAGTTTCAGGCTGTTTTGTAGCTCACCTAGTGTGTGTGAAACTTCCTTGTCCCCCTCACTAACCTGGCATGGTTCTGCTTCTGTAAGATTCCGGTTGCTCTCCCCTGAGCCCTCCCCAACAGAAAGCATGATTTAAAAGGAGAAATCAAACTGCTTCTCATTGTCCAGGAAACTTTCTGGGGGCTAGCCCCCCTCAGCTGCTGGCTATAATAAATGGGCTCAAATCTGGCACCGAGTGTGGTGCATCTCTATTGTCGGAACTAACTCATCCACAACACTGAAATGGAACCACCCTTTGATAACCACTGATTTAAAGAATCAAAAGTGAGGTCTGAAAAGCACTGTACAAATAAACACTGAAAGCTGGAAATTTTCCTTCAATATCCCATCTAGAAATACAGTTACCTTACTTAGTGAGACTCTGCAGAGAGGTGTGCCTAGAAAAACAGTGTATTTACATATGGGGAGAGGTTACCATTTATGTGGACAGTATTGTTTGTGGTTTCCATGTTGTCTTATTCTAAAAACAGGAGTAGGGACACTTTAGGAACATAGAGGGTTTTTTTGGTACCGGGGATCGAACTCATGACCTTATACTTTCGAGGTACATGCAGTGCCACTGAGCTAAATCCTTGGCTAAATCCAGGAATATAGAGGGGTTTTTTTTGTTTTTTGTTTTTTTTTAAATATGTAAAGCTTCACGAATTCGCGTGTTATCCTTGCAAAGGGGCCATGCTAATCTTCTCTGTATCATTCCAATTTTAGTATATGTGCTGCCGAAGTGAGCACTTGTTTTTGTTTTTTAATTTACCTCATTTCTTATGCAGGGAGGGTGGAAAAATTACTTATAATGCTGTCCTGAGGTTTCTTTCTTTCTTCTTTTTTTTTAAATATAATGGCCCATATTATTATTCTGGTAACAGCTTTACTGAAATGTAAATCACACATCATACAATTCACTCACTTAAAGTGAGAGCTGAGAAGCACCTGAACTGTGGCAGATCACCATGCATAAGCAGGACTTCCACTGCTCCACAAATGGGAACCAGCCTCTAGGGAGGCAGTGCGTGCTTTCCTGTTCTACTTAAATAAGGCTTTTCTTGGGGAAATGGGCCCAAATGATGGCTATGGTCATGCCTGGCATTCTGAACTGGCCTCCCACTGACTTTTTGTGGCCAAGAAAGAATTTGTTTTAGGTTACCCCAATTATGTTGTTGAATCTCATCTAAGAACAGACCAAGCTTCCCCAAAGAATGTAAAAATCACCCCCAAGGTGACTCTACATTTGTCAGGAACCTGGAAATGCTTCAAACCACATTTGCAAGAATGAGTTAAACAGTGAATTGTTGAACAGTGCCGAAGAGGTCAATTAAAACAGCTGAAAAGGTGGCTTTGGAATAGAGTGAGCTTCCTGATTCCGGGGGTATTCAAGATGAAGCTGGGCAGCCAGTGCCAGCCACCAGGTGGAAGGCACCCAGCCACATGTCCCATTTATTCCAGCCTAAAATTGCTGAGTAGGTCCATGCAGTACTGGCTGGTGAGGGCAGTACTGGCTGGTGAGAGAGACAAGGTCTGAGTGTGGCTTCTTGACCTGGGGACCCTGGCCTGGAGGGGGCTCCATGTGGGTTTCAAAAGGGGTATGTATTAGGTCACTGGGCTGCATGCAAAAGGTAAGGGCCTTTTCCTCAGACTCTTAAGAAGGGTAAAAGTGACCTCAACATTGGTTATGAACTTCTGGCCTGAAGGAAGAAAATGTAAACAGACAAGTGGAACAATGTCACGAGTATTTAAAATTATTGAAATTGAAATGGGTGTGCAGGAAGCTGACTAAGGTAACTGCTGGCCTTTCCAAGTCGTGAAGCTTTGGAGAGCTCTGCACCTCTCTAACAGAGAGCTGTGTGTCTTGGTGTAGGGGAGGGAAACCATACCTGTCAGGATGGTGCGCCGTTTGCACTGCTCTTCGACCCCACCCTGTCTTTTCCCTGTCTGGGTAAAGGGCATCTCGAACATGAAGCGGCGAATATTATGTGATCTTTCAAACTCTGTTTTCCTTTCTTGCAATTCTTTTTCATCAAAGAACGGGATCACATGAGTCACCTGGATATAGGCATACTTGGAGTCCAGATCCTTAGGGTTGACCTTTAAATAGATAAGTGAGATTGAAGATTGGTGCTTCTTAAAGGAATCTCTCAAACTCAGCCTAAGCTGTATTTTCCAACTTTTAATTAGCTAACATTTTTGGAAAATTCAGAAAAGTTAGAAAAGTAATATAAGAAGCTCTGACAGGGCTGGGGATTTAGCTCAGTGGTTTCGCCGCTTGCTGCGCAAGCCCAAGGACCCAAGTTCGAACCCCGGTACCAAAAAAAAAAAAAAAAAAAAAAAAAGCAGCAGTGACATACCCTTCACTTGGATCAATGATTGCTAACATTTTGCTATATTTGTTTGAAATACACAAATATATGCACATAACACACAGATGTATACCATCATGACATTTAGCCAGTTTTTCCTAAAAATGAGAACATTCTCCTCTATAACCACAATGTATTATCACATATCTAACAACAACACTAGTTCTCTAATAGTACCCAATATTCAGTCTACATTGAAATTTCCTCAGGTGTCCAGAATGTTATTTTTGGATTTTTTTTGGTACCGGGAATTGAACTCAGTCCTTGCGCTTGCGAGGCAGGCGGCGGAACCACTGAGCTAAATCCTCGGCCCCCAGAATGTTATTTTAAGCTATTTGTTTTGAACCAGACCCTAAACAATGATCACAAGTTATATTTAGTTGTCTTTTATTCTTGGTTAGTCTGGTACCCCCCACTCTTTTTCACAACACTGAATGTTTTGTAATAACCCTGCTAGTTTTGTTCTTCAGTGATCTCCAGTCTATATTTCTGATTGTTTCCTAAAATGCATTTTAATATATTTGGCTTAGAAAAATGTTTATTTTAGGAATAATGATCAAGAGTTAGGTCCCCAGGGTGAGGGATTTAGCTCAGTGGCATTGTGTCTGCCTCACAAGTGCAAGGTCCTGAGTTTGATCTCTGGAACCAAAAAAAAGTGTTAGGTCTCCAAATTATTGTTAATCTGGAGACAGATCAGATTAGATGAAAATAATTGCAGTAGGGCCAAGGATTTAGCTCAGTGGTTTCACCGCCTGTTGCGCAAGCGCAAGGACCAGAGTTTGATCCCCGGTACCAAAAAAAAAAAAAAAAGAAAGAAAATAATTGCAGATTAATTTAATATAGGTAGAGATTAATGTAAGAGTAATTTAATGCTAAGTTTGACTCCTGATGAACTCAGCACACAAACACTCTTAAACCTACATGAAGAATAGGAAGTTCTCTCATTTCCGTGACATGAGAGAAAATTAAACACAGGCATTTTCCATAGAGAACCAAAAACTATTAGGGAGATAGATCACTTTTGCACATCTTAATATTACTTAACCTTTGCGAGCAATACAAATGGACAAGGAAGAAATTACTGAGCAGAGAACTGGGAAGACTGTCTTGGCTTAAGTGCAAGCAAATCAATGAAAACAGGATGTTTTCATGGATTTCCTAACAGAGATGCTTGTGAAGAAAAATAAAAAATAGATGTGAAAACGCTTTTAAGTTTAGAAGGTAAGAAAATACATAAACTCCTAGGAAGTCATTTGTATTTTATAAAAAGTCACCTGGCCAACCATTATAACTGTGTTTGAACCTACTAACTTGACTTCCATTAGCAGAAACAATTTAAAGGTGGTGAGAATACAGCCTTCTTGTCTGATTTTCAGTGATATTTCCCTATTTTCTCTTTTTTTTTTCTTTTCCGAGTACTGGGGATTGCATCTGGGTCCTTTGCACTGAGCTACATCTCCAGCTCCTTTTATTTTTATTTTTTAATTTTTTTTTTTGGTACCGAGGATTGAACTCGGGACCTTGAGCTTGTGAAGCAGGCGTGGTGCCACTGAGCTAAATCCCCAGGCCACCTTTTATTTTTATTTTTAATTTCAAAATAGGGTCTTGCTAAGTTTCTCAGGCTAGGCTCTAACTTTCAATCCTCCTGCCTCAGCCTCCCAAAGTGCTGGGAGTATAGGTGTGTGCTGCCAGGCCTGGCATTTCTTTACTCTTCATGTTCAAAGCTGTCTGCATGTACCAGCAGCAGGAATGGGCATCAGTGTTTGTTGGAGGACAGGATCCTGTAACTCAACTGTATATTAAGGACCACATAGTAAAAGGTGAAGAATGATTGAGAACCTGGATAAATGGTATAACATGAAAGCCACCAGGTGAGCCAAACAAATGTTTTGGTTTTAGAGAAAATGGCAAACTGGATTTTGGTTTATGGAGTAAGCGAGTGTTAATAAAACTGCGCTGACATTTCCAGTTAAGGTGTACTATTGTTCTCTTTTCCTTTGTGAACTCTGTGAAGGGCCCAGGAAGAACAGGGGACAGTAGCAGACGAGGGACTGTAATGAATTCTTGGAACACAGGCGCATGGAGAGTGGCACCTAACTCAGGGGAGTGGACAGAGTGCTAACCTATGATCTCAAGGGTGGGTACTGCACAGAAGTCAGTGCACCCTTACAAACCCGCAGAGGACCAGCACTTGTAGCCCCTAGATTTAGGATGATCATGTGGGGTGGAAAAACAGGCTACTGGTCCACAGTTGGCAAGTGGAATTGGTAACTCCGGGTTCTCTTTCCTAATCTCTCCTCCAACAGGGAGCAGAGGTTGTCCTCTGGAGAAACTGATCTGGAAAAACTTGAAGTAGGTCCATTAGTCTCAGCAGAAAGCAAGGACAACCTACCGGCAGAACAATGAGGGTAAGTAAGAGGCTAGGCCAAATGTGAGGCCTTTTCCTCCTCTCCTCTGTTGCTTCCACAGCCCAGGAGTCAGATATTTACTCTCTGCCTTTCTTGTCCCCTGCTGGCTCTCTATCTATCCACCTGGTAAGGAGATGGAGGGCATTTGGAGAAAATGAGTGGCCCCAAGGAAACAGATCCCAGACGCTATGGACACTCAGGGAAAGCTCAAGAAGGAAAAGGAATTATGGACCACTCCAAAATGGTGCCCTTAGAGGTAGAGAGCTGAGGAGTAGAGAATTTTTAGTGCACAGAACAGGAGTGCTCTCTCTCCCTCAGATCTGGGAAGCAGTGGGACACCCAGCTCCCTGGGGATGTTTTAAACAGACACAAAACTACCCAGGACAACTGTGCAGATTCACGCAGAATCATCATGAGAGCCAATAACGGAGAAAAGCTGCCTAAACACAAAGTGGACCTCATTCCTACAGTCGTGCTTTCTACTGAGTTCATTCTTGGTCTGTCCATCTGTCCATACATCCAACCACCAGTGACAAACAGTCAAATCACGTGTGCTGTGTCAAGTGCCAAGAGAAAAGGGCAGTGAAGAATAGAACCTCGGACTCTACTCTTTTAGAGTACCTAAGTACCAGGACTAAAAATAGTATAGTATATCCCTTCAGATGTTAATTATTTATAAAAATTAAGCAATGAAGATATGTTTAATGTCAGATATGCAATGGAAAGCATAAAAAGGTACTAAGAGGAAAAAAATATACTGCCACTCAGGGCCAACTGTCCTTAAATTTTTTCTGAGATTTCTTTACTATACACATGTATGAATATACAATATATTACCAATCATATGTAACCAATCAAAACAATAGGCAATTGCTATGAAACTTATCCAAACTTGGTCATACCTTGCCAGAATCCTGTATCATTTTGACATTTTCAGAACCAAATTTATCTGAATAAAGTTTAAGGAGTCGCTGAGAAATTTCTGACAGAGGTGTGAGTTTGGGTTCTTTGTAAATATATTCCTTTCCATCTTCATCTTCAAAAAACCCCTGTGATGTAAAGCACAATTAAAGTTGTCCTTGAATATAAGCCCCAGGCTTAATACCCAGGAAGAGCTCTTTTGTTATGGGGAGGGGGACAGGGGAAGAAAAGGAATGCTTCTAAAATAAAATCCTACTTAAATAGGCTGTCCAAAAGGAAGGTAATAATATGGGTCTGAGTGCAAAGGTAAAGGACAAACATAAAATTGCAAACTTATTCAAGAATGCTGTCATTAAGTGTTGAGCAAAATGAAAGATCTGGGATTCAAGATTGTGTCCTCTCAGTGATTTCTAATGATGGGAAGTCAAGCCTGTTTCACATTCCCAGGAAGCAGAAGTCACTAAACACTGACCAGCCAGCCGCCTGCTAAAGGCAGGCCTCAGAAGTGCACATGCATTCTTCTCCTGACCACTGTCATTTGCACAGCATGAATAGAAGAAGCATTCTGGTCTGGAGTAGGAGTATCAAAAGTTACATGAAGTTTGAGAAAATTCTATTTTGCTTTACTGATGAGGAAAAATTAGTATTAGAGGCCAGTAGCACAATATCAGAAAATATTTTCATTATTACTAGTAATTATTTGTTTTAGCACCAATTATGTTTGACTATAAGGCTTAAGATTGCATGGGAAGTGAAAAAGGTTGCAAATTTAAAAGTCCAGATTGGGGTTAATATTTGAAGTAAAAATTTTAAAACGCTTCTCATTTAAAATAAAAGACAGAAAATAGTGCAAAGACACAATATATAAAAAAAAAAGGGCAGGCTACCATGAAACAAAAAAAATCCACATCAATTAGGAGTTTAGATGCAGTACTTTCACTAAATTACTTGCTTTGTAAGCATTTACTGTAATTACCTCCACATCTGTTTCACTGTCAGTAAACTGGTAATGCTATAAAGTCATAAAAGACAATAACAGAATAAAGTGAAGGTTACATAATACTCATAGAAATCCACACACCCTAAATAAATGGATTACAATTTATACACTTTAATGTTAGAGACTTGAAGGTTAAAATTTAAGTTAAATTAAACCCTCTAATATAGGGTTTCTGAAATATTACAATGGTAAATATGCTTGTGGAGATATTATATTGCAAAAGATAAAGATGCAAAGGCACAAAGAAAACCATAAAGTCTTAATTTTGGTTTAAAACATGCAGTATAGATGTATAAAGTAATGGATGATTTATTTCTGTAAATGGAATGAAATGTTAATTTTTGGAGTTTGTAGTGACTAGACAGATATACATATAGACTTGAAACTTGCAAACCACACTGAAGTACCAAAGATGCCACTAAGAATGTTTATGGAGGAAGAACTTACCGCTGCCTTAAGAAAGTAATAAAGAAAAGACAGGAAGAAAGAAAAAAAAGCAGAAAGTTTACTACAGAGGAAGACAGGAACCATGCTAAATATGACAAATTCATCAAATCAGCATTTATAGAATACCATAAGTTTATAAGATATAACTTTATAGCGTTAAATATTTTAAAAAGGACTTGGAATAATGTATAGAATGGAGGAGAGTCTCACCTGTCCAAAGAAAGCCACCCGGAAGTAGGTCCCCAGGAGCCTTCGGCCTGAGTGCATGACCTCAGTTACTTTGCTGTAGGCCCGGTGCAGCGTGTCATATAGATGGGCTAGCCTCTGGAAAACAAAATAGAACCCATTTCTTCCCACTGCAAATAGCAGAATCATTTTACAGTAACGATTAACATGAAAATTCCTTGAGCTTGAGTAAAAAAATAAAAATCAAGATTATATTTTGACCATATAACTTGCACTGATCATTTATGAACTGTAATGTTTCCTATTCTATTTTGAAGGTAACATGAAATGTCTGAGAAAGTCCTCTGAGGCCATTTTCAGTCTGCTTTTCCTACTCATCTGATATGCTAAGAGCAACTGGTCAACCTCCCCTGCCTGGGAAGGATGAAGGACTACCATACTCCTATGAAGCAGATTATGGAAGAGTCTGAGAAAAAGAGTACCTGGTGATTACAAAATTCTGTTCATGGCAACCTTTCAAAAGTAGAGTGCTGGGGTGGAAATCCTTGTAGTTCAGGATGTGGAATTCTGCACAGAGGTGAGAGCCAGGTATGTTTTGATGCCTCACGGCTCTTCAGAGGTGGTTACTGGTGACCACCTTCCGCATTATACGGAGGGTCAGAGACCATTTGATCATCACTGAACCAAAGCCTGCTTGCTCTCTTTGTACAGAGTAGGTCTGGGGGTATGTCACATCATTGTTCTCAAACAGAAAAAGACAAAAAGCCAGATACCTCAAAATCTCTGCGTTTCTCATAGATGGGGATGATGAGTTTATAGATGTCAGCAATGAGCTCATAGCGCTCTGCCTTCCAGAGTCCATCCGCACACTGCTCAAGAAGCTCCATCAACACATCCTGATCAAAGAGAAAGGTCATCAGCCAGAGAAGAGGTTATGGGGAGCTTGACACTGTATTCCTTTGGAAGGAGTAATTATTCAAACTGCTGGGGGAAATTTCAAAGTAGACAGCATTTTCAAACACTATTTATGTGCTTGGGACAACACATCACGTTTTTTTTAGGAAGTTGTTTTTCCAATCATGTTTATGTGCATAAATGGGAAAGGGGCCACACTGTATGACTGTGCATTAGTAACCTGCATGGAAAACCTGACATTGATAGATTCACACAGCCTCTGTTTCTGCTCTTAGTTATTTTTCTTTTTTTTTGGTACCAGGGATTGAACTTGGGTCCTTGCACTTGTCTTAGTTATCTTTTTTTTTTTTTTTTTTTAAGTACCGGGGATCAAACTCGGGTCCTTGCGCTTGCGCAGCAGGCGGCGAAACCACTGAGCTAAATCCCTGGCCCTCTTAGTTCTTTTTAAAAATATAATTTAGAAATTTCTTTTTCCTTTCTAAGGAAATAATGACAATGCCAAGACATGGAGAGTTACTAAACATGACTTCAACCCCAAGTAAATATCTTAAAGGAACTTAGTGATGGAATGTGGTGGGTACTATGCCTGCCTCACCAACACCGACTCCTCTCTCCCTTGGAAACTGCTTGCCATTGAAACTTGCATGGTCACTCTTCTTAGAGCCAGGGACTTTGGAGGAAGGTAACATTACCCATGGCTCAAGAATTGGGACATATGGCTCAGATGTATACTAATTAGCAGGAACCTATTTCCCAGCCACAGCCACTGCTTCATCATGGGTGGGCATGTGGCCTAAGCAGGCCAACTGGGGTCAGTTTCAGGACCCCAGTTTGGAATTCTACAACAAATGCTGCCTCCAGAGAGGACACAAAAGAGGCAGGATGGAGCCTGACTGGAGCTAGCATTCATCTCATGGCCATGGAAATGGTCTGTTAGTCTTAGTTACAGAGTAAAGAGTCCCTTTCTGCCTTGGCAAGGTAACTATCTTTTTAAAAAAAATTTTTTTGGTACCGGGGATCGAACTCAGATCCTTGCGCTTTCGAGGCAGGCAGTGGAACCACTGAGCTAATAACTCCCCGGCCCTGCAAGGTAACTAACAATGCTAACTTTTATTATTTGAATGATGTCAATCTATCCATGGAATTTCCTAGTGGGATCCAATACTCGATCTTCACTGTTTAAGCCCATTTAAGTAGGGTTTTATTATTAATGTCAAATAAAATTTAATGTGCATGTCTATTATTTGAATAGCTTTGGCAATGTGTCTATTTAAATCTTTTGCTCTTTTTTATTGGGTTATTTTCTTACTGGATTTTGAGAGTTCTTCATATATTTTGTATAAAAATCTTTTTCTAGTTACATGATTTGTCTCTGAATTTTAATACTGCCTTGAAGAGCAGAAGTTTTAAATTTTGATAAGCTCAATTTACCAAGTCTTTATTTTCTAGATTGTGTTTTATGGCACATCTAAGAAATATTTAACCCAAGTTAACAAAAATTTCTTTTTATGTTTTCTTCCAAAAGTTTTATAGTTTTTCATTTAGGACTACGATAAATTTTGAGTTATTTTTAAATAATGTATAAAAATTTTTCTTTTTTTTTGCTTTGCACACATATGCCCAATTGTTTCAATACTATTTGATGAAATACCATCTTTTCTCCACTGAATTGGCTTTGATCTTTGTCAAAAATCAACTGACCATATATGTGGGTCTGCCTCTAGACTTTAAATTTTGTTTCATTAATATGTATGTTTATCCTTGTGCCAAAACCACACTGTTGTGATTACTATCACAGCTTTATAGGAGGATTTCTCTATGGTGACACTATGATATTTTGAGGTAAATAACTTTTTGTAGGGGAAAGTCCTGAGCACTGTAGGTTATTTAACAACATCCTTGGTTTCTACCCATTAGATGGCAACTACAGTAACATCTTTCCCCTTGCCCCAAAGTCATGACAATAAAAACATGTTTCTAGACACTGTGAAATATATGCTGGGAGGAGGGGAGGTTGTGTGTGCCAAATCATTCCCAAATGAGAAACACTGCTTTAGTTTTGTAATTGGTTGACATGAATCTTTCAACCTTTTGGATAATCTAGTTCCTTTGCTTTTCCATATAAATTTTTGTGTCAGTTTGCCAATTTCTACCAGAACTCCATGAAGGGACAGCTTTGAATCTATAAATCAATTTAGGCAGAACAGGTACCTCTTCTACTCCATCAAATAATATCTTCTTTGCTTTCTTTCATTAGTGTTTTATAGTTTTTAGCAAACAGATCTATACAGACTTATGCTTATGCTTTCATGTATTTTGATGCTATTGTAAATTTAAAATTTTAAACTTTTTTATAAACTGGTTTGTTTGAATGAGACTGAAAGTCATTAGCATATTTACCTTCAGAAATTATATAAAATAATCTAATAATATAACAAAACCATAGAGTAAGAATCTCTAAATCTGAAGAAGGCTGATTGATTTTTGTTATTAATCTTATCTCCTACGCTCTTGCTCGCCCCCCCCCCCCTTTCAGTACTGAGGATTGAACTCAGGACCTTGAGCTTGCGAGGTGGGCATGGTGCCATTGAGCTAAATCCCCAGTCCTCCTATGTTCTTGTTAAACTAACTTATTAGTGGCTTCTTTTATAAATTCTTTTGGATTTTCTTTTGTCTCATGTGAATATAGACAGTTTAATTTCCCTTTCTTATCTTACTGCACTGAGTATAACTTCCAGCACATGTTAGATAGCAGTGATGAAGACACATTATCTTGTTTTGATCTGAATTTCAGGGGGGGAAGCATTTCGTCTTTCACCATTTAGTATGATGCTGGTTGTAGTTTTAATGGTAGATAATCTTTTTCAGGTTTAGGAAATTCCTTTCTATTCTTAGGGTTTTTTTTCAAATAAAAAATAGATGTTGAATCTTGTCAAATGCCTTCTCTGCATCTATTGAGATGGTCATATGACTTTAAAAGATATTTTCTGTAGATATGATGAATTATACTGATTTGTTTTCCACTGCTGAATGAATCACACATTCCTGGAATGAACCCTGTGTGGCCACAACACATTTCTCTTTTTATGTACTGCTAGCTAGATTCTGTTTGTTGAGTTTTACAGTTGCTTTCTAACATGGTTGTGCCTTTGTAAAACTATAAATGAACAGCACGCCTTGTGCTTTTCATTATTAGTCTAATATTTCATCACAGGCCTAATGTCTATAATTTAAAAGATCAAAGAAAATAAACATTTAAAAAGCAGCTATGAATCAATTTATCAGAAAATATTATCTATACAAGACCATTTAATCCCTATGTTGTATTTATCACACACAAATCATAAAACTGTCATTTGTGTGACTAAAGTTGGCACCAAAGCTTATGAAGTGGTAGGCCAGTTGTCTCACACTTTATTGCAGGTCTCATTAAAACCAGATGTGTACAAAACAAAACAAACCAAAAAAAACCCAGATGTACACAGCAACTATATCTGCTATAGACAAGGAAGAAATCAGGAAACTTTCTAACACCATCTCTTTTCCTGTGCATTTATATTATGAAGATGTGCACTTTTCTTACTTTTTTCAATTCTTCTCCAATGGACAAGCACTAAGACAACAAATTTTTAGCCTTTGTATGCTCCTCTGATTACAAAAAGCTAGATAGAAGAGCACAAAACTAAAAGTTGTACAATTTCAATGTCAGTATACTTACTCTTCTATGTTTGTAAAATGTATAGACTGTTATTATAGGTCTAACCTTAATTGGTGTTTGTGAAGATCAATAAAGATTTATGCATAAAATGCTCTAAAAACTGTAAATTCTGTATAGTATAGAATTATAGTGGTCAATTAAATAAACATCTTATTTCAATCATCACTTTCTACTTTGTACTTATTTAAAAAACCTTACATCCGGGGCTGGGGATTTAGCTCAGTGGTTTTGTTGCCTGCTGCGTAAGCACAAGGACCCAAGTTCGATCCCTGGCACCAAAAAAAAAAAAACAAAACAACCTTATGTCTACTGGGCTACATAATATCCCATAGCACCACACACATACTGGGTAGTCAAGTATTTCCTGGGTGAATAAATCAACTTGCATTTTTCTTAGTAATATTAGCAATATTACTGGGTAGTATTGCTAATATTAATAATCAGGTATATTGTTAATATTGCTAAAAGGCAATTCTTTGCTATAGGGAAATGAACTAAGATTTCCTTTATCAAAGCCTTGTACTTCTTGAATATCTTAGGTCAAACACACTGGCCATTTTCTTTCTCAAGGGTACTATGGAATTGCCGTAATGTGGCAGAATTCTGAGAAGACCCCATTTCCCATGGGGATAAGAATACTGTACAATCAAAGTATTCTTCTGATAATAAAATAGGGCATGGAACTTTTCTCACTTTAAAACTATTCTTAAGTTTAAAGACTAATCATTTGGCCCCTTGGATTCCAACTACTAGGCTTTTTCAAAGATAAATGTAACTTTTGTGATAAATTAAAATTGGTCCCACCAGAACGCCATGGTTATGTTGTAGATGTAAATGTACAGTGATGAAGCCTTATTTATTGTGAATGGGAGGAAAGAGACCTAAAGTTTCTTAATTTCATGCTATAGCAGTTATAGTGTAATAAGAATCTGGAATAGTTTAATGGAATTTCCTAAAAATTTGAAATTTCTTTTCAAAGTTACACTCATGTATCATCACTACCATGTCACTGACTCAATCATTCATTAATTTCTTAATTTGTTCAAATATTTACCAAGCATCTACTATGCAAAAGATATTATGCTTACACTGGAGTTATAAAACCAAATCAGGTAAAATTAAATCTGTAATTTCTAAAAAGCACTTACTAGATTTTTATCAAATGTTAAGGGTGTATTTTGGAAGGCCTTAGGCTATGTGACATAAGTGAAATCTGCTCTGAAGACAAAGATACACATACACACAGTCATCCTTCAGAGCAGCCAACACTGTGGTACTAGAAACTCATGACCACCATTGGAAGAGATGTGACA